AATTTCCTTCCAATTACCTTCATTGGTAAAGCCATGAGTATGGATAATGGCATGGAATTGAGTGCATCTTACCAAGTTGTCCAGATCCTTGGAATACTTCTCTAGTAGGTTTATTTGTATAGATATTTTTCACTTGAAATGAGATATACCTCACCACTGGACCCCTGAGGAGTCCGACTCAACTGGTGGACTTTATGACCCAGGATCTGCTGGCCTCTGATTGACCAGCAGTTCTGGCAAACTGGGTCACCAGTGTTGAGGCTGGCGATAGGGGAATTACTGACCCTCACTCACTTATCAGCTATCAATGAGATGACTGGAGGGTTATCAGATGAGTTGTCGTCATTGGGGTTAGTCATTACTGAATACACTTACTTCCACTTAAAACAACATGGTAAAATTCCTCCTATTACTATTGACAGCCAGGATTGTTTGTTTTTACTCATTTATTTAAATCCTCACTCAAGTTAAAGGCAATCTAAAATATCTACAACTCTGAAAACAGCAATATTTAATTTTTTCAGTTCAGCCTTATTGTTACCTCTTTTAGTTTTAATCAATTTAATGGTTTATTTGAAAGACAAATTGCATTTATCTAAGGTTCGGAAAGGCTTAATGGGCTGACAGTGAATTCTCGCACCCAACTTATTGATTATTCTGAATTTATTGCTTTGGACACATGAACTGAGGAGTTGATAAGTATCACCTAGAAATTCTCCTTCAGTCACACACCATCCTGGCTTGGAACTATATTCCTTTTATTGCTAGGTCAAAACCCTGGAATTCCATTCTGTATAGTGGTGTGGGTTTAACTGCCCTGCATCAGGATGCCCCAGTCATCTCCACCATCTTCTAAAGGGCAATTAGGGATGGGAACTTTCAAATAAGCACAGGTCTTAGTGGAATTTCTGGTTCATTGGGACGTGTACAGTGCATGGTTAGGTTTAGCGTGTGTTCTTGGCTATTTCTGCCAGAGTGGAAGGTGCAGTTATGTGAAAAAGAAGTATTTTGTATATATCCTCAATTCAGACAAATGTGTATTCACACAAGTTGGAATAGAACAGCCCCAAGGTTTTCTATCCCACAAGGTTTAATGTAAGGAGCTGTGGTGTAAATTCTCCAACGTCTGAAAGCCACAATATACCTCGAAAGAAAAGCGCAGTTAGCTGGGTGAAACAGTGATACATTTTTACTTCTGTAACAATTTGTAATTGGAAGCCTAGTGAAACTGTGACAAAACACAGACATCTCCCTGAGGGGAAATTTCATTAAGAGTTTTATTGAGAATCTTATTGACACTCCAGCAGCCAGCTATGGGTAAACTTTGGAAAGTGTCATTCTATCTGGTATGGCACGCAAAGCTTCAGAAAATAAATGATGGAAGGAAATAGTAACACTTTGCATTAAAAGTTGTAATTTTCCTCACAATTTAGATTTAATTCCTATGTGTTAAAGGCTCCCACAGCAGTTTATTGCAATCATAATGTTGCTGATATTCTTTTGAGCCAATGACCACAAATATATCTCATGTACAGCAATAAATAAACAAATTATGATTTTGACTGACCATACTTTCAATATGTATAACTGACCTCACTGCTGAATGAAAAGTCAGCTGTTCTCCCGTAACGCTGTCAAAAGAATGAGGTCATAGAAGTGCAGAATGATAAAGATAGTCAAGCAAGCTCCTATGGCATAATAAGATCAGGGCAAGAGTTGTAAGAAGATACAACTGAGGTAGCTCAGGAACACAGCCTTTCAATACACTTTTCTCCTCGATCGCTATTGACCGTATCCAGGGAGCAACTCTCAATTCATCGACTTTCCAGGACAATCCATATCTTACTAGTTATATGCATTAAAACCTAAGTCATTAATGTGCTTAATCACATCCACACACAGGAAACAAAACAATTCTGCCATAATTTATTCTAACTGACATTGCTAATGGATTTATTATGAATTTGGTTGAATTATATGCTGTACCTCCATTTCCTCCTTTATGTCACTTCTTAAAACTTAACTGTTTGACCAAGTTATTGGTCATCTGTTCTAATATCCCCATATGTGGTTCACTTTGCTTGATAATGTCCTGTCAAGCATCTTGGATGTTTTATTATGTCAAACTACAAGTTGATGTTGTCATTAGTGGCAGGCACACTTTGACAATTTGGACTCAATAACATTGCTTTTGAAAATTGTTTGTACTAACTTGTAAACACCTTGGAAAATATGGATGCAAAAATTGTACTTTTATTCATGGAGCTTGATGATTTATTTACCAAGCTAACATTTTGATTTTCACTGTTTTCTGTATGTAGCCCTCCAAAACAACTCATACTTACTTCAAGGTTTAAAAGATCCAAGCTGAACACCATCAGATCAGTACTAAACTGTGTATAACTGGGTGAAAAGACCATAAGACCATAAGATATAGGAGTAAAATTAGGCCATTTGGCCCATCAGGTCTGCTTTGCCATTCAGTTACAGCTTAAAGTATTTATTTGATTTATTTATTGTCACATATCTAGGAAGATACAGTGAAAAGTGTTTTGTCGCCACATTCCAGCACCATTTTGAGTTACAAAAAGAATAAAAAGAAATTACATAAATAGAGTTCATCTTCCATGCAAGGGGTCTCCAAACACAGCTCCAGGGCTTCTGCAAGGTGTCCCGGGCCTCAAGGAGTCCCACTCCAGGTACAGCGATGACAGCCACACTTCAGGCATACTGCAGCCAGGAATCCCCACTCCGAGGACTGTATCCGCCACAGCCAGGAGTCTTCTCCGGGTCTACCACAGTTCCAGGCTCCTCCACTGCTGCAACTGAAGACACACTGAGTCCCTGAGTCCATGTTCCAGGCCTACTGTGGCCAGTAGTCTTCACTCCAGGCACCTCCACTGCTGCAACCAACACCTGCCATACTGCTCCAACTTCTCCACGACGTCAGAAGATGAAGAAAAGAGAAAGAGAAAGACAAGAAAGGAGAGAGAGAGAAAAAGGAAAAGATGTAGCCAGCCTGGAGTGAATGGGCTCAGGAGCCCAAACACTACCTATCGTGCTGGCATTGCCATCTTCAATTATGTTTCTGAACTCCATTCTCCTGTCTCCTCTCTGTAATCCTTGATCTCCTTAACAATTAAGGACCTAGCTCTCTCTTAAATACTCTCAATGACTTGACCTCCACAGCCCTCTCTGGCAATGAATTCCACAAATTGGCCACCCCCTAGCTGAAGAAATTCCTCCTCATCTCAGTTCTTAACAGTTGTTTCCTTACTCTAAGACTTGCCCTTGGGTCCTAGTTTCTCCTACCGTGGAAACATATTCTCCACATCCACTCTTTTCAGGTCTGTCAGTATGCTGTAAGTTTCAATCAGGTCCCCACTTATCCTTCTAAACCTCACTGAGTACAGATTTCTTGTATGACAAGCCCTTCATCCTCTATAATTGTCACATAATGTGCTGTAAAAGATTCTCAATGTTTCCTGATCTCAGACCAAGACAAACTAATACATTTGTTCATTACACACAAGATAACAAAATACTTCCTCAACAATTTGTTGTCCTGGCAAAAATATTGACCTAATGCGTGTAAGGGAATGGTTTGGCACTCAGTAAGATAGTTGATCCAATATTTGTATTTTGTCATAACAAATATTAGATGTATTTGATTTGATGTTTTTGTAATCGAAATATTACCATATTTAGTTTAAAATGTTGTGCTGAACAAAACATGATTTAAGAGGGTAAATTCATCTAGTCACCAGTAACTTATGGTTAAGTAAATTAACATCATGGAATAGTCCTTGAAAAAATGTAGGAACTTCTGGATATATTAGGCCAGGCAGCATCTGTGAAGAGAGAAACCAAGTTAGCCTTTCAGGTTGGTTTCCTTTCATACCTTAGAATGGTATTAAATATTTTCATGATTATGGATTAAAAAGATTTCAGTCATCATGTTTAAAATTTACACTTCTTGTGCTATTATAATATTAATTAAAATAATCTTTTTCCATTAACTGAAAAATGATAAAACATTGTAAGTATGTGTGTGACATGGAATTTAATTATAAACTTTAGATAAATTGGAAAACTCTTTAGTTCAAAAGATACAAATCCTAGACTTCTAAGAAAGGAAAGATTAAGTAATTGTAGGGAAAATCATAAAATATCTTAACAAATACTCTCCTATGACCTTGCTCAGAGGTAGCAAAAACCAACTGTACTCTGCAGATAAAACCATTATAAAAAGTGGGGAATAATTGCACCAGTAAGAGCAAATATAATTCCATCTCTATTTTAAAGTTGTACACTGTGTGATTATTTTTGCATATACTTTCATTTTATATTGTAGTATTTATAGGCAATGGGAACCAGAGCAGTACTATTGATTCCATGCACAAATTACTAGAGTTTCTCCAAAGTATTGGTGGAGGAGAGATGCAAAATTGAAGTGCCACTGAACCACCACTGATGGGATGGTATGATTATGATGTGACAAATTTGCATAGACAGTTTCCAATATAAATATGGAAGTATGATGGAAAAGGTTGATGTCAAATATTATAACAGGTTTTATTTTTAGATTAGAAGTGTACATAGATGTAAAATGTTCGAAAATATTGTGGTTGTATAACAAGTCTCAAATTCCATTTGGTAGTGCTCCTGTAAAACTCTTCTGGATATTTTACCATTTTAAAAGTGTGACAGAAGTTATTGCTATTACTGTCTTTCTGGCAAGTACAGTTTGTCAATTAACACTAATAAAAATTGCTTTGGAAATGATTTATAATTTAAGTAGTAATGGCCCTTCAGTGTCCATTGCACAAATCTGAATCAAAGTCTCTTGTTCTTTGGACAATGTTCTGCAGAGAAAAGCTTTATCAGGCTGCATTATACCAGTCAGATCTTTGGGAATTACAGTCAAACAACATGAAAGTTGAAGTCTTCTCTGTGCCACAGACCTAATTTTGTCCTCAACGTATTTTTCCTCACAACAGAATCCGCGTAGGAGGCGAAGACAGTCCATCAACTTCAATCACTATGCCAACAAGAAGAGTGCAGCAGAAAGCATGCTGGATATTGCCTTGCTGATGGCCAATGCATCGCAGCTCAAAGCCGTGGTCGATCAAGGGCCTAACTTCAACTACTATATACCACTCATCATTCTCATTAGCCTCTCACTTATATTTCAGTTAGTTGTGGGTATCTTACTGATATTCATTGGTGAGTTAAATATTGAGTTATATTAAGATAATTATGTTTTTGTATTGTCAAAGTGAATGAACAGACCAATTGTCCGTTATTACTAATCCACGTATATTCTTCGTGTATCGAATTGCAGTATAGGATAATGGTACAAGAGAAATTACAGAAATGTGTGAATTAATTGTTTTTAACATACTTTGTGAAAAAAAGAGAGACAGCATTTTTACCACAAATTTCCAGCCAAATATTGGTTTGGTTACAGTTAGGTCTAAATTAGCTTGTTTTGGAGCTATGCTGTGAAATTCTAATGCATTCAAATTTTCAACCCTTCACAAATTTTTCTTTCCTCAAGTCAGTAATTTTTATGGGCACTGAGACTTAACTCAGTGATAGCATTCCTGCCTTGGACTCAGAAGGTACAGGATTCAAACCCCATATCCAACAGTTCTTCTGAGCGAAGCCGAGAGCTCTGGTTCTGAATTCCACATGATCAATAAGAGGAAAGCTCGTGCTTACTGTTTGTGTTTCCTCACCACCTCTGTCCATTCCCAATGCGTGGCTTGGGCAAGCTCATTAAATCTTCAGTCATGCAGGACTAACCATTCCAAAAGCTAGTCTAAAAGATTTTCATAACTGTAGAAGATTCAAGTCACATTCACATTACAGCCTGTCAATTTTTGAATCCTTCCATGCCTTTACAAATTCTTCAAGGGGAGAGCACAAAGATACAAGAAGTACAAAGATACAAGTGCCTGCTCATTTCATGTGAACTGTAGTCCTGCACCTTGACCAGTTTTGACGTAAACTCATTTTACTCGAGCACTATACTTGTGAAACAAACAAATGGGTCAGAGTGAACTTGCAATTTAATGCAATTTTATTCACAAAATACACGAAAGACACAAACGGACCATATGGCCAAATATTATCTAAAACCCTTACCTTTCCCAATAAACTTCCCAATTCTTTCTTACTCTACCAAATGCAATGTTAAGTCTTGTTGCAATCCTTATCTAAACTACTTCTGGATACCAGACTGGGGGTCCAGGTAATAGATGAGCATTTGAACTTGGCCAGGCTGTGTAGTCAGCTGTGATCAACTTGGTGAAGGTTGGTCTTGCACATGGTCATTTTCTCTGTCTCTCTCCAAGTGGTCAGAGAATGTTCTCTTACCGTCAGCCAATTGATCTTCAGTCATGCAGGACTAACCATTCCAAAAGCTAGTCTAAAAGATTTTCATAACTGAAGAAGATTCAAGTCATATTCACGTCACAGCCTGTCAATTTTTGAATCCTTCCATGCCTTTACAAATTCTTCAAAGGGAGAGCACAAAGATACAAAAAATACAAAGTCACAGTGTCCAGTGGGATTCCCGGTGTGTCAAGGGCGCACCCCCTGTCCATACATGGTCATGGCGGGAATCTAGGGCACTGGTTAGAGTGCCTGCTGTACTCCAATACACAAACCAGGATTGTCCTCACCCACCTGTGTCTTGTGCAGATGCTTTGTGCTTGACCTGTCCTGAAAGTCCATCAGTTTTGGCTGCTGAAAGGTTGCCCACTCTGGTTTTGGGCCTAGCCATTCAGGCCCTAGGCTATCTGGCCACGTAGCACTGGCATGGTATTTGACCACTGAGACGTCACTACTGATCGATGCCTGATCGCTCAGCAGCGATCCCAATACCAGCAGGGAGATAGCAATGTGTTGGTAATGTAATCCAGAGGCCCAGGCAAATGCCTCGAGTGGGGAGAAGGGGTTCATGGATTCAGACCACTGCATGGCAACTGGTGCAAAATTCAGTTAATAAACTTGGAACATTTACTAGCCTCAACAATGATGACCATGACACTGTTGTTGAATGTTGTAAAAATCCATCTGGTTTACTCATGTCCTCCAGGAAGGAAATCTGCTGTCATATGTGACTCCAGATCCACAGCAATGTCGTTGACAATTCACTGTTCTCTGAAATGGTGCCACTCAAATCAAGGGCAATTAGAAAGGGGTAACAAATGCCCACATCCCATGAAATAAACTTAATAGGAATTGGGAACAGAATCCTTTCTGAATTGTTTTCCCTCAAACCCCTGAGGGCTGAAGCCAGTTTCTGTACTCTGGTGAGATCAGCTCGGAGTTGGTCTTCTGGTCTGCAGAGCTTGTAGCCATTATTCACTCAGTTACCCAGAGAAACCTCAATTCAATTGAAAAGGAGCTAAATAATTGCAGTTTTTATTGATGATGGTTGCATGATGAAGTTAAGGAAAGTTAAAAAAAAAA